AAGTGAGGAGCTGTTTTGCATTTCCCCCCAAGGCGGAATAAGGAGGAATAAATTTGGGTTTAAGAACATTTTTCTGTTTATGCAGGTGGAAAATTATTTGAACACATATCTCGAGGACATTGGAAAATTTCTATCTCTGGAGGGCAAGACTGACCACTGTTAAGTTGGTCAGAATGTCTTTGCCGTTCTACTTAGAAGGCGGAGGTCCGGCCAGATAAGCTTTCTTGAACCTTTGATGTCAGGAATCGGGAAGGGGAGGATCTTATAATTTTTGTTATTAGAGTTTCTAAATTCCTCCTAGTTTGGCTCTGGCCAGGGGAGGTGTGGGCTGCCAAAGGGACTGTGTACAACCTGTCTTTCTGGAACGGGGCTACAGGCAGGAGCAATTTTTATCTCTTGGGAGGGTTTGTACCTCTCTGGCCTGAGGCTATAGCAGATCAGAAGATCTTTGCCTAAGATGTCACCTACCCCCCCCCCCCCCCCCCCGGTGGGTTTGGGGAATGCAAAGGGAGCTGTAGTGTCCAGCTGCCCAGAGAACTACCCCCTGTGCCCGATTTCTCTCCTAAGGGACGGACTGAACAGCCTCAAGATTCTTGACTTCTAGTTGGAATGTAAGGGTGGTTCTTGTCTCAGACACTAGCAGCATCAGCAGAAAAAGGAAGCTGTGTCTGTGTGCACGAGACACTGAAATAGCAGTGGCCAGCACTCATGTGGTCCCCCTCCTAAGCCCCATTAGCCTGTCTGGTGGCAGAAATAGCAACTCTTCCTGCATTCCCACATCCTCTCCCCTTCCCCCACCTTCTCTATCTCTAGATCTAGCTAGCAAGCAACCACCAAGGGACTACCCTCACTGACCACCTTACAGACTAATGCTGGAGCTACAAGGTGCCCAAGTGTCACAGGCAGTCCTTACAGCCACACCCTCCTGTGTAGGGTGAGGCAGGTTACTTTGCCAAGCGCTCATAGCCGTTAAAAAGTGGTAGAGAGATGCAGTCTTCAGCAGCCTGGCTCGGAGATTTCTGATATCAGAGATTAAATGTTGGAACTTTCTAGAAATATAAGTTGCAGAACTTCTCTAGAAAGCCTCTCTAACCTATTCCAGCTCACAGAAATATTTCCCCTTCTTTGAACTTTTCCTGTACTTGAATCCTAACCACAGAATCTATGTAACTTTTCTTTCCAGTAGGATATAAAATTTATCAAGGGACCAAAATTAATTTATTTTGCCCCAACTCACACATCTAAACTCTCCTTCCAAAGAGTTTTAAGATGTGAGTGGGCCCCGGCTGGCAGGGCTCAGTGGTTGAGCATTGACCTATGAACCAGGAAGTCACAGTTCATTCCCTATCAGGGCACATGCCCAGGTTGTGGGCTTGATTCCCAGTGTGGGAGTGTGCAGACGGCAGCCCAGCAGTGATTCTCTCTCATCAGTAATATTTTCTCTGTCATCATTAATATTTTTTTCTTTCTCTTTCTCCTTCTCCTTTCCTCTCTGAAGTCAATTAAAAAAACAAAAAGATATGAGCTGGCAGGTTGGGGTAGAGGTGGACAATGCTGGAAAAATCTTCCCATAATCAACAGAAGCCTCCAGGACACAATGTGTGTACTAGAAAGAGAAGAAATCAGGAGACCAGGGCTCTACTCAGGACCTGCCAGTTGGGTGAGTCACTTCCTTATCGGTACTAGGAAAATTATAATACTGCCCAGAACTTGTCATTTGCTCCTATCAGATCATATAAGTAAAAGTGCTTGGTATAAAGAGCCCTGCCAATGAAAATTACTATGCCTAGAGGAGGATCCAAGATGGCTGCTCGGGTAGACATCTAGCCGCGGCAGCACACAACAATTTCAATGGAATACAACTAAAATGTAGAGTGGACATTGCCCAGAGCTACAGGTAGTCGACTGACTGAAATTTCTACAACAAGAAGGAAAGAGAAAACCAGAAAGAAAATCAGAGGAGCTGAAAAAAAGCCTAAGGTACGGAGACATGCTGCGCGCCTGCCCGCCTGCACGCGCGCACGGAGAGGTCGCAGCCGGAGAGGAGGAGAGGGCGGGGAGCCGCCTTTCCTTCCCTAGCAGGAAGGAAATAAAACCCCCAGCCTGGGCTGAACCCCCGAACCGGCAGTGCTGAGCCCCCCCGAACCGGCAGCGCTGAGCCCCAGTTATGGGCCAGACCCTGGGGACCCAGGCTCCGGCGGGAGGAGACGGGGCCGTGAGGCGGAAAAACGGCGAAAGGCAGGGCCCCGGGAGTCACGCGCAATGCGCGCAGAGGACTGAATGTTAACTCTGATGCTGGGTTACCCTAGCCGGGAGAAACAAGGCCTCCGGCGGCGCTGAGCCTCAGTCTGGACTGCTCCGAACCCCAGTTCTGGGCCAATCCCTGGGGACCCAGGCTCAGGCAGAGGGAGACGGGGCTGTGAGGTGGAGTCCAGGAAGAGCGGCGAAAGGCCGGGCCCCCGGGACTCGCGCACACTGCGTGCTGAGGACAGTCTGTTGACTCTGATGCTGGACTCCCCTAGCGGGAAGGAGAAAAAAAAAGCTCTAGGCTGGGGGAACGCGGAGGGGAGCGGAAGCCCCTGCCGGGCTCCAGACAACCCGGCACCAGCAAGGAGGCGGGCCACGGGGCCCCTGGGGGCGTGGGTGCCCCTGAGCCTTTGACCACTGAGCTCGGGCAATGGAGCCAAGGCCGGGGGGCTGCTTCCTGGGCGGCGCCGTCCCGGCAACAGGCTGAAGCAGCACAGGAGCCCGCGGAGAACAAAGGGGTGCCACAGGCCAACCTGCTGAGCTCCCAGGACAAGGAGGAAGAAACCAAAGAAGTTCTCAATGTGAAGAAATCAAGTGAGAGCAAAAAATAGTAAAATTACTTAAGAAAGAATACAAAGAAGATCTTGAAAAATCAAAGACTAAGTCAGAACTCAACTCACCAGCCAACATTGCAACATAAATGCGTTTTAAAAAGAAAAAAAAAGGACAGAATGTTGGAACAGCGATGGCCAGGCCTAGAGTGGCCAGGCACAAGGCAGTGGCAGCCAGACCCGGAGCAGCAACGGCCAGGCCCCAGAACAATAGCAGCCAGAACCAGAGCATCAACAGCCAGCACTGGAGTAGCCAGACCTGGGGCAGTGGCAGCCAGGCATGAGGCGGAGGCGGCCAAGCCCAGGGTGGCCAGTCCAGGAACACCCAGACCCGGAGTGGCCGGGCCCGAAGAAGCCGGGCCCAGAGCAGCCGGGGTGGGAGCAGCCAGACCCAGAACAGCAGTAGCCAAGCCCAGAGCATCCAGGTCGGGAGTGGCCAGGCTCGGAGCGGCCGGGCCCGGGGCAGCCGGGCCCAGAGCAGCCGGGTCAGGTGCGGCCAGGCCCGGAGCAGCAGCTGCCAGGCTGGGAGCGGCCAGGCCCGGGGGAGCAGCCGGGTCGGGTGCGGCCAGGCCCAGAGCAGCGGCTGCCAGGCTGGGAGCGGCCAGGCCCGGGGGAGCAGCCGGGTCAGGTGCGGCCAGGCCCGGAGCAGCGGCTGCCAGGCTGGGAGCGGCCAGGCCCGGGGGAGCAGCCGGGTCGGGTGCGGCCAGGCCCGGAGCAGCGGCTGCCAGGCTGGGAGCGGCCAGGCCCGGGGGAGCAGGCGGGTTGGGTGCGGCCAAGCCCGGAGCAGCGGCTGCCAGGCTGGGAGCGGCCAGGCCCTGGGGAGCAGGCGGGTCGGGTGCGGCCAGGCCCGGAGCAGCGGCTGCCAGGCTGGGAGCGGCCAGGCCCTGGGGAGCAGGCGGGTCGGGTGCGGCCAGGCCCGGAGCAGCGGCTGCCAGGCTGGGAGCGGCCAGGCCCGGGGGAGCAGGCGGGGCTGGTGCGGCCAGGCCCGGAGCAGCGGCTGCCAGGCTGGGAGCGGCCAGGCCCGGGGGAGCAGGCGGGGCGGGTGCGGCCAGGCCCGGAGCAGCGGCTGCCAGGCTGGGAGCGGCCAGGCCCGGGGGAGCAGGCGGGTCGGGTGCGGCCAGGCCCGGAGCAGCGGCTGCCAGGCTGGGAGCGGCCAGGCCCGGGGGAGCAGGCGGGTCGGGTGCGGCCAGGCCCGGAGCAGCGGCTGCCAGGCTGGGAGCGGCCAGGCCCGGGGGAGCAGGCGGGTCGGGTGCGGCCAGGCCCGGAGCAGCAGCTGCCAGGCTGGGAGCGGCCAGGCCCGGAGCAGCAGCAGCCAAGTCCAGAGCAACTAGGTCGGGAGCGGCAGTGACCAGACCCGGAGCAGCTGGTTGTGGAATGAACCAGAGCAACAGAGGCCAGGCCCTGAGCAGCCAGGCCCAGAACAGCTCGCTCCTTGCCTGCCCCTGCCCCACGGCTGCTTCTCAGACATGGCTGGAAACTTTCGTGGGAACTTGAGGGTCTGCTGAATCAAGTGATGAAGGCTTAGATCTGGATGTGTTGAGTTAGTTTAGGACTGGGGTGTTGATCTGTGAGTGCCTTGGGTGGGGCCTGGATGAGGCTGGTTGACCTAGTGGGAAATGTCTTTTGTGTGAAGTGTATCATTGGGCATGTGGAGGTATTATTGATATGAGAAAATGCTAAGTAACTGATTTACTATCTGAAAAGGGATTTACTATTGGGGAAATCGAGGGAAGAAGAGACTGAACATAAACTGCACCTATGGATGAGGACAATGGGGGATGGGGGGGGGGGACGGAGGGTGGGGTGGGAACCTGGTGGAGGGGGGAAGAAATGAGGAACCTTTGTAATAATATGAACAATAAAGATTGATTTAAAAAAAAAAAAAAGAAAAGAAAAAAAAAGAAAATTACTATGCCTATAAGCAGCTACTTAAATATCTTCTTCTTTTTTTTTTTTTTAACATCAGGTAATTGTATGCAAAATTCATTAATCCAAAGCACACATGTAGGAAATGGGAGGGGGAGAGTAATGGGGGCAGATAAAAAAGGGAAGAAAAGAAAGAGGAAGAGGAAGAAGCAAGTATGGAGACCACCGGAAGGCTAAAAGAGACCACCCTGAGAGCAGGGCCCAGATGGCACTTACATAGGCAGATGGCAGCCAGTAGTCGGAGACCATACTCTGGGGGAAAGCAGGTGGGGAAGAGCGGCTGTAGCACGTAGTTAGAGAAGGTGAGGGCGATGACAGCTTGGTTGGTGGGGTAAATCACCAGCACAGCAATCCATAGCCTCAGGAACCTGAAGGGGGAACAGGACAAGATTTGACCCAAGACAGCCATGGAGACCCCTACCCCCACCGAAGGCATGGCAGTTATTCAGGGTCATCAGGGAAAGCCTGGGCATCATTAGGAGAGAGGCAGGTGGGCTAAAGAGATGTATTTCCCTTTTGTTTTCAAGATACTGAAGAGCCCAGTCCTCCTGCCTCCCTACTTCCTCCCTCCCCATCCTGAAGTGGTACACCCAGCCCTCTGCAATGGCGAGCACAGTGGCAGCAGTGGGAGCCTCTCCTGCCTCCGTGAAAGCGCTAAGTATGTCCAACTGACAGCTTAGGCCCGGCAATCAGTCGGATCTCCCCCAAGGGCTCCTGGACTATGAGAGGACATAAGCTGGGCTGAGGGGCTCCCCCCCCACCCCCCCGCCCGCCTCTTGTATGAATTTCATGTACCGGGCCTCTAGTGGTTTAATGATGAGAAGTTAAGTTTTAACTAGTGCTAACTCACATCTTGGCTTTACTTAACACTTCCCTCTTCTTTTATTATCTCTTCTTTACCATTTTGGCCCCTAGCATCCAATGGTGGAAAATAAAATTTGCAATGTCAGAATTTTAAAAGCCAGGACATGCAACTGCCAGGGGAGGTACTGAGCAGGTGTTACAGGAGAAGTGTCCTCCACATCCTTGGGTTCATGAGGTGAGAGTTGAGTTCTTCGGTAGCAGGGATGCAGAAGCTGAGGAAATTCGAGATCAGAGCCTGGTTTGGAATGAGGTCATTATCCTAGGTAATGTGAGAAGAGAGGATCTCTGTCTTTTAGGTGGGCACTCTCACTTTGAAGATAAAAGAGCTTTGGGTTTTTTTGTTTTTTGTTTTTTGTTTTGTTTTTTTTTAAATATATTTTTATTGATTTTTTACAGAGAGGAAGAGAGAGGGATAGAGAGTCAGAAACATCAATGAGAAAGAATCATCGATCAACTGCCTCTTGCACACCCCCTACTGGGGATATGCCTGCAACCAAAGTACATGCCCTTGATCGGAATCGAACCCGGGACCCTTCAGTCCTCAGGTCGATGCTTTATCCACTGAGCCAAACCGGTTTCCGCAAGAGCTTTGTTTTATGAAGTGGTTTTCCTTGAAATCTTCAGTCAGCCAAAACCGGTTTGGCTCAATGGATAGAGCATTGGCTTGGGGACTGAAGGGACCCGGGTTCGATTCCGGTCAAGGGCATGTACCTTGGTTGCAGGCATATCCCCAGTAGGGAGTGTGCAAGAGGCAGCTGATCGATGACTCTCTCTCATCGTTGTTTCTTACTCTCTATCTCTCTCCTTTCCTCTCTGTATAAAATCAATAAAACATATTTTTATTAAAAAAATCTTCAGTCAGAGTTATATTTGTTCTCACTCATAAACTCTTGCCCACTAAGATCAGCTGACTAAAACTAGAATCTGGTTCCTCTGTCACTCTCAGGGGCATCAAGGGGACACTAGGCTTCACTAGCAAGCCTGAAGGCAAAAGGGGAACCCCATTTTCCGGCTCTCCTCAGCACATTGGAAACTCCTGGCCTTGGCTTCCTAGGCCACTTAGGTCTCCACAGAGCCTCTTACCCAGCCAGTCCTCCAAAGATGTCCTTGACGTAGGAGTAGTCACCTCCAGATTTGGGGATGGTGACCCCAAGCTCAGCATAGCAAAGGGCTCCCACAGCTGTAATAAGACCCGTCACGATCCAGATGATAAGAGCGAGGCCCACGGAGCCCGCATTCTCCAGCACACCCTTTGGCGAGACGAAGATTCCAGAGCCAATGATGTTCCCTGCATGAGGCACCAAAGGTAACAGGGAGACAGGAGCATCAGCACAGGTGGCAGGACCAGCATTTGCAGGGCGACCTCATCTGTGAGCCGTTTCTAAATTACTGACTCTTGGGTCGTGGGAAACACCTTCAGGGAGATGTGCCTAGCAATAATTCTTCTTAGTAGCAGAGGAGGAGGAGCAGACAACGGGCACTTAAAGACCAGGAACGTGGTCAGGTACTCTACATGTCTTTTTTGAGTCCTTAGGATAAACCTATGGAGTCAGATATCATTTCTCCCATGTTACAGAGGAGGAAACAGAGTCTCAGGCATACCAAGTGCATTGCCCAAATGCACACAGTAACAAGTGCTAGTGCAGGTATTGAACTTCAGGACCCTCTCACTGGGCTGCACATGATCTACCCAAGGCTGAAAAAGGCAGGGCTGGAAGAGTGAGCTGTCTCAGTGAAGCAACTGTTAGTTAGCTTCAAACGTGAGACAAAGGACCTTGAGCCACATGTCTCAGTGGTTAGAACTTAGATCGTGGGCCTGTGCACCAGAAGGTCTTGAGTTCGATTCCTGGTCAAGGGTACATATCTGGGTTTTAGGTTCATTCCCCGCCCCAGGTTGGGGCACGTGTGGGAGGCAACCAATCGATGTACTTCTCTCACATTGATGTTTCTCTCTCTCCCTTTCCTCCCTCTTTCTTTCTGCTCCCCTTCCCTCTCCCTTTCACTTTCTTTAATTATAAATGGAAAAAATATCCTCACTCCTTGGGTGAGGATTAAAAAAGAGTGAGCCAAAGAGACAGAGTGTGGTCACACCCCATAACTGGGTTTTTTTCTAGACCCATGAGCATGGATAGCACTCCTGGAGGCTAGCCTCTACCCTAAGGTCCACCCTTGATGAGAAGTAGAAATAAACCCTATAAAAACAGACCTAGTCATTTGGAAGTGGTTTATAGGCGTGCAATCAGTACAAAACCTCAGCACTATATTCTTCCAAAGGTCGTTCTCCTCCACTGTTTCATGTGACTCACAACATTATGAAATTCAGGAAGAGGAAGAAATTTTATTTATAAAGTGATTGGGATTTTGTTTTTTAAATATTTTTTAAATTTATTGATTTGGGGGCGGGGGAGAAAGAGAGAAAGATTGGTTTGTTGTTCTACTTACTTATGTATTCATTGGTTGTTTCTTATATGTGCCCTGACTGGGGATTGAACCCGAAATTTTGGTTTATTGGGAAGATGCTCTAACCAACTGAGTTACCTGCCCAGGATCTAGGTATTTCTCTATTTTTACAATCTAGAAACTAAGAGGGGTTAAGTGGCTTTCTCCAAATTCCACAGATATTGACAATAAAACTGGATGTAGAAGTCAGTCTCCTGATGCTTAACCCAGCACTTTTTCCATTATTCCACTTCTGTTTCTATCCCCAAGAGGGTGGGCTTCTTCAGAGAGGTGAGACCAGCAGTAAGGACTGAATGTGTGTTTTGGACAGAGGAGGGGTAGGAGTGTGGAGGAAGCAACTACATGCTCCTTCCTAAACTTCCTTTTGTCTGCTTCTTACAATTTAAGATTGAACTGATGCTTTGAAAGCTACCTTCGAACCCCAACCCAGCTGCACCACTAAAGGCCTGAAAGAGGAAGCAGAAGCTAAGTTGATCCAGGTAGAAATGCAGAGTAATTATGAGGCCAGTTGGATCTGACAGTGTTCTGAGGACATCTCAGATTCCCACCATACCCCTCTAGTGATATGGAACTAGTACTTAGCTGAATCAGATGCAGAGTAGAGAATTGTATGCTCAGCTTTCAAAAACAGTCTTTCAGACCTTAGCCATAACTCAATCTCAATCCAGTCCTGATTCTCACTTCTGAACCAAAATTTAATTTTTAATCCCAGGTCATACATCCAGTTATTTCAGCCAAGGGAAAGAGAAGAGAATATTTACATTCTAAAAACAATAGTGTTAGTGTCCTATTCTTCTAGTGTGCGAAATAAGCTGCCCCTTTACAAATAAAAAAATTGCAGCATGAAATGAGTAATGGTGGTGTTGGGGAGGGGAGGAGTTAGGTATCTAAACAGCCCACATTTGTGCTTTGCATGAATGTTGGGTTAATGGAGACTAAAAGGCCCTTGTATCCCGGGAGTCAAGACTCGGTCACCCTGTCAAGTGACCCATCAAATGCAGAATTAAATATGCTGCTGGGTACTGAGAACAAGCGCTGAAAGATGATAGTAAATTCCTTGCTTAGCAGGTATTTATCAGAAGAGTGATCTGTAGGTCATTTCAAAGCCAGCCAAGAAGAGAACAATACAATTAGGGTTAAAAAACTAGCTGAAGAGGTTGAAAAAAGCAATCATTACAAGAGAAAAATCAGGTTTGACTTTTGTCTTGAAAATGCTGAAAGGGAGGTTAGGGAACAACGAGGCATTTCCCAGACCCAGGAATGGCTGTGGCAAGGAGGAAGTGGGAATGGATGTTATTGAAAAGAGCCCATCTTCTCAAGAATAAAGAATGTTAATGTTCCACTAAGGATTCTTGGAAAACAAATTTTGCCATGGGAATCAGAAGCACCTCTGTTCTCTGGTTTGCACTGACATTTCTAGAGTGTGTGCTCCTTCCCTTGTCCCCTGTGGAGGGCGCCACTGGAAGGTGGGATGTGCAACACCAACAGCCCATTGCAGGGCTGACCTCTGCTTGCCTCCTCTTTTCTTTCTTTTTTCTTTTTCTTTTTTAAATATATTTTATTGATTTTGTACAGAGAGGAAGGGAGAGAGATAGTTAGAAACATCGATGAGAGAGAGTCATCGATCAGCTGCCTCTTGCACGCCCCCTACTGGGGATCTGCCCGCAACCAAGGTACATGCCCTTGACCGGAATCGAACCCGGGACCCTTCAGTCCCCAAGCCGACGCTCTATCCATTGAGACAAACTGGTCCCGGCTGCTTGCCTCCTCTTACAGTATGTTGGGTAACAAACGTTTTTCCATGGAGTTGCTAGAATGATGGTGAGAGTTGCAATAGGTTAGCATTGAGACAAGAATCTTCATTTTATACAAATTGGGTTCTCTCCTCCCTCCAACAATATTAATTTGATCAAATTAAAATTACAATGATAAATGCTTAATATTTAAAAAATTTTATTCTAAGGAGCCTAAACCAGTTTGGCTCAGTTGATAGAGCGTCTGCCTGTGGACTGAAAGGTCCCGGGTTCGATTCCGGTTGAGGGCATGTACCTTGGCTGCAGGCACATCCCCGGTAGGGGGTGTGCAGGAGGCAGCTGGTCGATATCTCTCTCTCATCGACGTTTCTAGTTCTCTATCACTCTTCCTTCCTCTCTGTAAAAATCAATAAAATATATTTTTAAAAAACTTATTCTAAGGAACAGGAAGGAAAAGAATGCTTCTCCCAGTTTCTATGAAGCCTTTACCTACAAAACCAGAGTCAGTTAACATTCCCTCCACATTAAGTGGCCTCTGGAGCTTCTGCAAGGGGAGTAATGTCATTCACAGCACAGCTATGGTCTGGAGCTGGAAGAATATTCACATGACTTTTACTCAAGAGTAATGCCTACTATATCAATTTTTAGTGTAATTAATACTTATCTCCCCACTAGACTGTAAGCTCAATGAGAAAAGGAACTATATTGCTTCCTCTCACCTGTGAAGTGTCACTTAGTAGACACTCCATAAATATTTACCAAATGAAAGATGTCTGACATCAATCTAGAACTTATCTGCACAGAGCAATTTAATATGCCTGTCTTTGGAACCTCCAAATCTCATGAAATATGTCAAGTGTATATTGCAGGCAAATGAGTAAAGCAACACAGTTATTTCTCTGCTGAGCAGAATAGACTGGCTGTTACTACTATCTCCAATTTGTAGGGGAAGAAAGTAGGGCAACTATATTCCCATTTTCCAAGTGGGGAAAATGAGGAAGATATTATTACCCCTATTTTATGGATGAAGAAATAGACTCAGATCTATTTGCCTACATCATAGAGTGAGTAACAACTGGATTAGAACCTAAATCTGTTCCAGCTTCAAGCTTTTTCCTGAAAATAGTTTTGCATGCTCCACTCTATAGGCAACGAGAATGATTCACAGGAAATGCTTATTTAAAAAATGGAACACATGCTCTAGCCAGTTTGGCTCAGTGGACAGAGAATCAGCCTGCAGACTGAAAGATCCTGGGTTCAGTTCTGGTCAAGGGCACATACCTCAGCTGCTAGCTAGATTCCCGGTTCTGGTCAGGGAGTGTGTGAGAAGCAACCAATTGATGCATCTCTTTCACACCAATATTTCTTTCTGTCTCTCCCCCTCCCTTCCAGTCTCTCTAAAAATCAATGGAAAAATATCCTAGGGTTAGAATTAAAAACAAAACCCCCCAAAATTGGAATACTGATTCCTTTCTTCTGTTGCAATACCACCTGTAGTGGTGATTTACAAAACATTCACATCAATTACCTTACTTGACTCTCGTAACTATTTTCTTAGGTGCATAGGTCAGGTACTTATTATCCTTATCTTCCTTTTTAAAGACTGAGGTTCAGAGCGGTGAGGAGACTTGATCTAAGTCACATACTGCATATGTAGCAAAGCCTGGGTGAGAGGCCAAGGCCTTGGACTCCTGGCCCAGGATCTCAACTCTCCCATGCTGCCTCTCCTATAGAAATTGCACAACACACGCTTTAGCTGCAGGGCTTTTAATCTCTCTCTAAAGGAGACTTTTCTGGAGTGGCTTTGAAAAAGGAAAACTGGGAAAGGGCTTCTACCTAGACTCTCAAACTTGCTTGATGGAAGGTAGGAAGAAAGTTTAATAAGATGGGATTTTTTTTTCCTCTCCATTGTTTTACTCTTAGACTCAGCGTCTATAAACCATTCAAGAATGAGATGGCCACCCATTTGATATAGCCAAGGTATTGGAGATCAAGTTTTAACTCCCCCTTTCATCCACCCCAATTAATAAAATTAATCATCTCATCACACAGATCTTTAATGAGAAATGAGTCT